TGATAGCTGAGTTGTCAGTATGGGCGGCTGACGTTACATACTGGTGCCTAATTGAGGAGCATAACTCTCAACATTACCTCGGCCCCGACTACAATGCAAAGAATTATCGGATTCGGCAGTGGATGGCTACCATATCAGTATCTCTATATGAGTTTCCTGATTGGAAATACTTTGGTCTGATACACTCACGGCGAGTGATCGGTGGTGAAGTGTGGGGTGTCTATGCCACCCGGTACCGCCGATAGATACGTAGTTACAGTTCTATTGGAACCCTCACGGAACTCGCAGAAGCTACTAGGCACACATCTCTTGCTAGTGGCCGCACAACGGATTCCCCTAGGGCGTGTATTGCTTCACCGCAGCCGCAAAACTACAGGTGTATGCACATATGATCTTTCTCGGCTACCAAATCTCCAATCCTTTTCTCCCCATGCTATCACGTTGGCCCCGGAGATATCTACACTGTAGACAGGAATATTGTGCCGGAGGCCACAAAGTCAACTAAGCTTACAACTCTCTCTATACGAGTACATAGCACGCACTCATTAAAGGCCTTGCTTTGACAGCGGCACTGAAGCTTGTGTTCAGCCTGAGTCCGCTCTATCCTGACTCCCTGTAGCCGTGCCACATGCTGTGCACCTCCCGGATTCTACAGTAAGCTCAAGATTTAACCTACCGGTCTCATGCCCCTTGTTTTGCCTTGCCCCACTTTTTTTGTGGTAATTCTCGGCTATCACGGTCTCCCAGCGTACGTACCGGTACATATCGGCACTTTTCCCTGTTTTGACCGCGATTTATGGAGGAGTGTTCAAGTGGTAACCTCAATTTCTACAAGACTCTTGTTTCGTCCCTCTTGGTAGTTTGTCCTCACAAGGCCCATTTAGGCAACGCAAGGGATCAAGGCCTGAATCCAGAGCTCATACGGGGCTAGGTGGTAGTGTGACAGTTGGGAAAAAGGCTTGTGTTTGACTATGGGGAATCTTCCAGGGGTAAAGTGTCAGTACTGTGCCGCAAAGGTGCATGATAGGTGGGAATTGACGGTGCTAAGCTACTCCCATCACAAGACAGTCTACCCCCGACGGCCCTAGCCTATGAACGCGGATGAAAAGTTTTGAACCATGACATCCCCATTATCAGGATAGCCGTCACCGGAGCTACAATGCACTACCTCTTTCACTTTAGAACTTCTCACCTTCCACCTAAGGATAGTGCACGAGCCCAACGGAAGGCTCCCTATAGGACTAGTCAAAGCCCCAGGTAACTTCAAGAGGATACCAGGGAACAATCAGATGCGTAAACTACTAAATTAGAAATAGGTTCCCTGTCCTTGCGCATGAAAACCTCGTGTTGGCCGGAGGAGTCGAGACGAGAACCCTGAAGGGAAACAGAATTTCCGAGGTTATGAGTGCTCTTGCCACAGACGCCTAGAGATCAGTAATATCTGGAACGCGGGATTAAGTCACCGTAAAATTTCACAATAACTGAGCCCTATGCTATGTTTTTCAAGTTTGCCACCTCTGTTACATAAAGTCCACATTAAACCTAGACCTCCCCCGGGTCATCCAAAAGAGAACTGATGGACATATTTACCCCCGATATGGTGCTTGGTTGGTATTGAAGAACTCCCTCTAACCCTCCTGTGAATTCTATCGCAATATCTTCCCTAAATTCTCTTTATGATTGATACGAGTAGTCCTCGGGCGCGTTGGCCGTGACTGGCTTGGTACTAAATGATGCATGGAAGCTCTTGGTGTGAAGGAATGTCCGATATCACACGGCAAGGATTATCGTCCGGATACCGTTGTATGAGTAATTGTATTTGCGGATGGAATCGGTAGGCTAGATATTAATATACTAGGGAAAGCTTGTCCCGGCATATCGTTACTAAAACAACTATAGCAATCTCTAATATTTTCATTCCAGGGCAGGTGGGGGGGGTTTTTTTTTTCTTTTCATAACCAACCTATTAAACCCCCCCGTGATAGCGTCGGAATCGCACATCTATATTTGAGAACGTCTAGCAGGATCGGTTTTGTAATTGTAGGTAATGACGGAATATCAGCTATTCCCAGTATCGTGACCTATATATATACATTGCCTATTAACTGATCCACCTGATGATAACATCTCCCGGCGCTCGGGGGCATATCCGATCTCCACGGGAATCTATACCGGTAATTCAGCAGGAGAAATTTATAGCATTGCAGACTCAGCAGCAACACTACCGGGTATCACAGTTTTCAGGTGGGTAATCAGCTAGACTGGTGACTCCTAGCTTGCGAATTGGAAGCCGTATACATACCATACCTTGAACGAGATTCACCCAAGTCTTCTGCCATACGTTTACAAGTGTACCGATGCCCCCCCCCCGACACCCCTTAACCATACATCTGTAATATATAACCTCCTTAAAGCTTGTACCTCTCACAGTTTAAACCTACCATTCTTCATCGGGGACATTCCGGTCGTGATTCCCCCCCCTTTGTCGTTGTGATTAGTTGCTCAATTTTTATTATTATCTCTACTATCCCAGGATGCACTTTCTCCCACAGTGCGCAGATCAATAACACAAGATACTTTACTTATCATGGACCTCAGGTGAAAAAAAAACCCCCCCCCCAGATAGACCTGCAGGCAGGATACGTATTTATTACAAGATAATGTTATGCGAGATATCATACCTAGTTGGCGTGGTGGTTAAGATATTAGGGACCAATTAACCCCCTCTGGGAGTGGTAGGAGTGTGAGGGTTTTTATCTAATTCACCCTTATAACGATAAGTTGGTGGGTGATGAAAGCGCAACTCAAAGAGCAAACTATAACAAGGTATATAGAAAAGCGCTACCGGGTGCTGATCTGAGTAGGCAACAACCGACTTAAAACTACAGTAGTTACAATAAAAGCAGTAAGCAGATTCGGTTAGAGAAAGGTATTTTAAAAAGAATCTTCAAGTTTGATTTCTAATCTACTCTATGGAATATAAGATCCATGTTAACTTAATACCGTTTTTAATACTTTCAATTACTGAATCACTCACTATCACTCACAGTCTCAGCTCGATCATGTTCACACCCCGGCACACACTCCGAGATCCGATCCCGGCTGGCAGGTTTAAGATTTTTTTTTATACGATACTCTTAAATCATGATACCATGATATCACATATACCGAACAGTGCTCAAGACAAGATCCAAAAAAGAATGAATGAAGCTTCCCTCCATCAGCGCAGAACAGAAGACCCCAAATCCCGAACACCACACCAACTCCGACCCCTAGTAATGCCGTACCGGACAAGACAGACAACACAGAATTATCCCACAAGCCCTCGCCCCGCAAAACCCGTCCAACCACTCTTTCTTTCTTTCCCTCTTTCTTTTATTCTTTCTTACCTCTCAAGCACAAGCCCACCTTATCCAAAAGAATCCCTCAAGCGCCCATCACACACAACAAACACAAAAAAAACACAAGACCCACCCACCCAAAACCGGGATCACAGCAGCGAACTCAAATCCCTTCGAAATTGGCCGATTTTGATCCCTCCCTCCTAACAGCACGACGGCGCTCTGGAGAGGAGAGGAGAGGAACCAAGAATCTAATTACCAGGGTAAGATCCGCCGCGGCGCTGAGGAAATATACGGAAACGGATGCATGATGGTGGGCAAAGCATCACACAGAACGCAGACAGACAGACAGACCCGTAAGGTGCCAGGAGGCCGGTAATTTGCCATCATAGGAAATCACTCGTGGAACCTTCACTGGTCAGGTCGTGGTGTTTCTCCGAAAGGGGTTATGGCAGGGGTTTTTTCTTTTTTGGTGGATGTCTGTTATGGATATTGTGGGTCCCCCTTTGGATATTGTATGATGCGATTGTGGTGTTTGTGCCCCTAGGTATAGCTCTGTTTTGTGGGTACATACAAATACAGATAAATCCGGCGTAGGGGGGAAGAGGATAGTATTTATTGCCAATTTAGGTAATACCTCTCTACATAATTCTGTATTCCTCGGCCTTTACTTTCTTTTTGATCTTTCACTTGGCACACCGGATCTCGGACAGTAATTGTTGGGTAGAGGTATTCGAGTGATTTATCACGCAACTCTCACTGGCCCGTAAAAGACAAAAAGAGGCCAGATAACATTGAGAAAAACCACGCAAGAGCAAGGCCCAACCCTATGCAGATCATACAAGGCAAGGTGGGTGAAAAAAAAAAGTCCCAATCCACCACACGGTATCATACTTATGAAAGCTAACAGTAGACTATCTCCATCACCACTGCGACCGCCAGAAACCCCCACCATTTTATTCAACGCCCTCCTAAAATGAGCTCTTCCTCGCGGCCCCAACCCACCTCTCACTGCACGACCTGATCCACCCAATCCAGGCACCCCACCACCAAAAAGCGCTCCTCTCGGGGATGCTCACAAACACCATATACCACCCCCGCCCCTCAGCCCCCGGAAGGCGAGAAGGAGAGTGAAACGTGACAGAGGTTGGAGAGGCCGCTCGCGCCTCCTGGCACTCAGAGGGTGGGCAAATGTCGTGAGGATTGTTTTCGGCCAAGGGAGGGCCGTTCTGAACCTTTGCCACTGAGGGGGTGCGTATTCCGTACCCTTGGTATTACCGAAAGGAGAAGTCGGACTTGATCCCGGTGACTATTTCCATTGATCCTGTGCACATTCTGGATCCCGAGGCACCCGAGCCTTTCGTAGCGGATTATTGTTTTTCTAAAAGCAGAATCAAAGTTTCACCCCATCCGCCGGGTGTCAGATGCACTGCGATGATTCTTGCTTTCGATATATCGAGACTCATCCTAAGGGGGCAGCTGTGGCACGCTGCTGGAAGTAGGCTGTTATAGCAAGAGCCCTGGTACGCCACGGCTGCAGGCCCTTCACACCATTCGGAAATGTTGGCGCGATGAATTGATATTGCTAGCTCTCGCCATTCACCAAAGATCCTATACGTCAAACTGCGATTATAGCTATAAAACCATTCTACCCCGGGAACAAACAAACCTATCATACCAAACCCGGGCCATAAAAGGGTATGTACCCCTTAAAATAAACTCAGGCAAAAGAAATCAGAGCAGAATTTCAGAGGAAAAAAGACTAGGATAAGATATGAGGCCAAGGCTAGATTCATAATGCACCTTCACCACGAGAATAAGCAATCCCATCATAAAAACAGTAAGGGTCAAATCTCAATATTGGTTATTTGTGTCGCTATCAAGCTCTCCAGAATCTCTCGAGTCATCCTCTCCGCTACTACAAACGGCATCGCCTTCAGCGCCAGTCTCCTCCTTCCACATCTGGTGTTCTCCCAAAGGCTCTTCAGGAGCGCTTTTTCTCTTGAAAATATTCCTATCCCTAATCCCCAAAGCAATCTTCTTCCTTTTCAAACGTCTTACCGAGCGATCGGCGCTGGAGAACTCCTCCATCAAAAGCGTCGCTGTCTCCCAATCATTCATCAAATCCTCGCGACCCTGCTCAAATTGAGGGCGTTCCCCAAAACCTGTCTGAGAACACAACAAGCGTAGCGTTGGTATCCCTCTAGCAGAGTCCTCCGTATTGGGATCCGTACCTGGATCCACGTTTCCGTCCCCAAAATCCTTAGTTGTAAGGCTGCGGAAGCAATCACTGATAGGCCTTTCCCCACTATGGCAGACATGTCCCAAGCCCCCTGCGTACTCCTTTATAGAATCGGTCCAACTTACCGCCCTCACCCTTCTCTCCCAGGGCTTCAGAGGCGGAACCCCCACACCGTGGAGGAGGTGGTGGTGGTTGTTATCCTCCCTAAACGTGGGGAATTCTACTCAAATCAGTCAGTATGTGAAGCAAAAAAAGAAAGCAGGGGTAATAACCATCAATATTAATCTCTCCAAGTCCAATTCTAGGGTTCACGTTCTTCCCGCACTCCTTAAAATAATCCCCCTCCCGTCGCCTCCCAGCAACCATATCCGGTGTTGCGGTTTTGTGAGCAACCTGGTTATCCAGTGCCGAACCATCACCAGCTGCACTAAATCTGAGGGCAGAAGCTTCATGGAGCAGATTCTCTCGCCGCTCCTTTATCTTGGAAGTAGGCACGTAATAAGGCTGCAGCGGGTGAAATCCGAAATCAGGAAAAGGCATCTCCTCAACCCTATTCGTAGCATTCGGAGGAGTTTCCTCTTTCGGCCGGCGGAACGGTTTCGGCGAGGACCGCGCCACAGCGTTCCAGAGACGGAAGAGCAGGCTAGGGCTTTTCCTAGGTCCAGCCGTCCTAGGATCGATGCCCCCTTTTTCACAATCCTTAGATGCAATAGTCACATCTTTCCTAAAGTTCGAAAGCCTCTCGGCGATGCTCTCTCGTAGGGAGGAGGAGAGAGAGAGTAGAGGTGCCATGTTTTTCGTTTTTTGTCTGAGAGTATGATTGGGTAGCTTTTTTTTTTTTCCTGAGAGGTTAGAGGAACAACCAGAGAACTTCGATGTACAGTAGAGTACCCGAGTATATATATATACTCGTAAGCCCACGCACGGCAACGTACTTCTACCGTGGCGCGGGCAATGGCATACTTACCAAGAGTTATATACGCGGCAGGTCCGAAAACGGTATGAAGCCAATAGAATTGACACCCTCTATGGGCGGGTATGATACCAGTACAGTACGGTATGGTACAGTTCAGTTCAGTTCAGTACTCGTACAGTACCTTCGTGCGCATAAAAAGACCCAACACTCTTGGCCATTCAACCTGGCACGCCACACCGAACCCGATATCCACCAATGAAATCGAGAAATAAATCCAATCAAAAGGGAAGAGGACCAGACGCAGAAGCAGATCACATTGTGTGTGTAAATTCTAGCTACAACCTCTCCTGTCGCTAGGAACTGCCCCCCACTCCCCCTATCATGCCACTGAACATCGAGCGAGATTTCCAGCTTTTGAGATGTTTGGTGCATTCTAGCTGATTCGCTTCTCCGCCTGGCCCGCTTCCCGGTTCCGAACACGTTGTACGACCCTGCAAAGTTTCCCGACTACAAGATAAGGACAGTAAGTTAACAACCATTCATGTACTGTACGGTACGGTAGGATCAAAGCTTTCCAATACAGAACCTGATATATATATGAAAAACAGCCCCCGATATACACCCACGGTGCTAAAACAATCAATATCTCCCCGCAAATCTACGCCATATATAAAAATAGAGCCTTATCTCATCTTTTAAGCACTCTAGCTAAGTCCGGTGACAATTGGAAGAGGAAAACAAAAAATCCTCCATATGCATAATTAACTACTCGGCTACTCCTAGACTCTGTAGCTGTGCAGGGGTATGAAAACTCTAGGGACACAACTGTGCTGTGCAGTACTCGTACTAGTACCGCTGAGGAACACTCGAGCAGCGACCATTGAACACCATTCACGAGTGATTCGGTGTGGATGGCGGCAGACACTGAAAGGCGAACTACGATAGCCACGTGGGTCATACCGGGGAACCGAGCCCGAACAGAGTTATGCCAGATCTCTAGCTCTCTAAAATTCATCGTGAAAAACTTCGCAACCTATGATACCCTTAGTTCTAATCTAGCCCCGCACCCAAGTCCGCCGGGCGTCAAAAATCCTCCCCTAAACAGAGAAGCGACTACAATTGATTTGCTATAACCTACGAGTATGCTCAAGCGCCAGCATGTGGGACATTACGGATCATCCGAGCCGGCGCTCTTCAGACATATCACGGCAGCATCAGTACGATCAAATCTCAAAACTCCAAGAACCAGATACCACATTAGCAACGGGCAAGCTGACTAAATACAAGAATGGATCCCCATGGAAGCCTGGGCGATAGGGTATACTTAAGGAGGAGGCAAAGGGAAGAAAAAAAATAAACGGAAAGGAAAGGCCCTAACGTGAGCCGAAACATAAAGGCCCCCAAAGCAGAACTCGCATAAACCAAAGAGGAACAGAGAGAGAAAGGGCAAGATATCAAACCCGGCCCAAACACACCACAAACCTCCAGCCCGGACGGGCCACCGCTAACCTCACTTACTGCTCGTGATTCTCTTCCAGGCTTCGTCCGGGTCCGTGGCTCTCTTGGGTGGAACAGGCACTCTGGGAGGGGGCCTATCTCTCGGAAGACTGCTGGCGTCCAAAGTTTTCTAACACCAGTGTTAGAACAGACCTTTCCTTGTTTTCCCCTCCCCCCCTCCCTCCTTCCATCTCTCCTCTGGGGGACCTGAAGGGAAGAGGGCATTCAGACATTAAGACAACTCTTGTACTGGTCAAACAGACTCTTGCATTCATCCATGCGCACCTCACCGACCCGGTATCCTGCAATAAATCAACTCAGCGTCAATCCCGTTCCGTCCGTTCCACTCGCTCCTGCATGTGACACTCGTACAACAGGCAAGCAAGCAAATGGGGGAGCAATACGTTCGTTGTAGCTCTTGAAAAAGCACGAATCGTAACGACCTTTAGCAGCGGCGCACTCGGCACTAGCGTGAGAGTTGCCGGGTGAAGGGTCAAAGTATTCTTCGAAAGAGTCGTCGTCGAGAATGGACATCGCTTCGCTCCGCGCAACCGTTAGAGTTTCATTCGAGTGCAAAGGTGCCTTCCGCCGGAACAGAAAAACGAAACAGAAAGTTCGACCGACGAAGGAGAATGAAAGTACGATGGTCGGGGTATTCGCTCAAGTATACCAAGAACAAGATCCTTTGCAGCTGCTCAGGGGGAGGGGGGGCAGCGGAGGTAGACCGAAGTTTGGGGGTGTGGGAAGGTGGGGAGAGGAGGGTGGGACAAGTCCCATCCACCACTCTGGAGCCGCAGCAGCACACGAGCATGATACGGTAAATCGACAGGTTTTCTATGAGGGGATTCGCCGAATCTGGGGTTTTAGTGTGCAAGTGCAAGAAAGCAAGCATGGTCCAACGGACGCCAGCCCGACAGCCGACGAGTATCGAACCACGACCGATGGAAGCCGAAACAAACCGCCGATACCATCACTTGTCACTCCCAAGAAATAAAAGCCCTTACGAAGGCCCGGCAGAGCTGTAGTCTACCCGTGCTCGCACGATGCGATATACAAGTGCAACACTGTAAACAAGGTGCTGACTCGGCCTCAATCGCTGGTTATCGTGGGTGAACTGACGACGAAAACGAAGGAGGAAGGAACTTGGGCCGTTTTTGGTGGTCCGAGAAGACGGATAATTTATTGCCACACGACACATGGGCTAAGCGGACGGACAGACAGGCACATGTGGATACTTGTATCGTACGGTACGGCACCACCGGTGGGCTGTCCTCATCCTCAGCTGGTCACCGGTGTGAGAGCATGAGTGGGCAGATGCGAGATGGCAAAGAATGGACCGAATGGTAACACCGATATGCCGCAATTTCCTCCGACGTGGGCTTCCCGCCCAGGAATTTCCCCGCAATTCTTGAGCAGCGTGCTCAGGAATGGTCGTGTGTCGTGTGCTCGGACGCAGCCTTCTCCAATCAAACGCATCGAGAGTGGGGCACAGTACTCGAGTATTGTACGGGTATTTTTCTACTGTAACCTGTTGGCGGTATTGTGACCACTGTCCGATTCAATCCTCCACCCCACCCTACCGCACTCCTATGATACAATGTCGACAGGAATCCGTTTCCGAACCCCAGCGTTGATCCCAGCCGCCACCGCTGCCGTAGTCTACCGTATTACTCGAGTACTCGACTGGGGTCGATAACTCCGAATACTCTTCATATCGTAGCGCGGGACCCATCCACAAAAAACACCATAGGAAATAACATGGCAATCACTACGGGAAACGCTTGGATCCACCATACCCAAATACGGCACGCCACCCACCATGTCAAACATCACCTCCGCACTCAGAACCGGTTACAGCCAAAAGAGAAAACACCATAAGCCTCTCTACAGATGCGTACCGGTACAAACAGAAACCCCTGCCCCCCGTCAACCTCCCACCACCATCCAGCACAACCCTATCCACTGAACACCACCATCTCCTCCCCCCTATCATGACCCCACCAACCAACCAACCAACCGTATCTCCTTTAATCACACACACCTAACACATACAGACCCTAGAACAAATTGCCGAACCAGAAGACATCGCAGGAGGAAGAAAGAAAAGAAAGTGAAAGAGGGGAAAGAAAAAAACTCCCGTTGGAATACAACCCGTGAAGCAAAAAAAAAAACTGCCCAGAAACATGCGATGAAATCTATGGTATGAATATAGTCATAAGACAGAAAATACACTTTGATAAGAACGGTTTATCAAAAAAGAAAAAAATGGGAAAAAATGGAAAAAATGAAAATTACACAAACATAAAATCAGATCGGGAGTAATTCAGAAGCGCAACTGGGAAAATCTGGCAAAGAAATTCGTGTCAGAAAAAAGGAAAATAATAGACACAGCATTCCTCACCATGGATCGCTGATTCCAATCAAACAAGCCGGAAAAGAAGGGGGAGAAAGCTCCCCCTGACATGATAAGCGCACAATCTTGAAACCTGTGCCATCAGTCGAGTGATGGATTGTCGGTGGTTGATATAAACTCCAGCAGAAGCAAAATAGTTATAGTTGTTAACCATAACTTATTCCGCCCATCCTGCCGTGGTGTTACCGACATCGCATCCAAGTTGAATTGACTTAAAAAGTGCTCCAGCTCCAATCTCTAGGAACACTGCCAACATAACTGCCCACCTTGGCACCGAGTCCATCCATTCCTTTCCCATTTCCAGGACCGGTGCCTCTAACACCCATATTCATGACAGGACTGCTAGGACTGGGATGATTGTTGCTTAGGGTTGAGCTGCTACTATTGCTAGAGCTCAGAGAATCTGTCCTTTTAGCGGCGAGCAAGCGCGTGTAGTCATTCCAGCAATTATCGCATGCCCTTTCTTGATATCCTTGAATATGAAAGCGAGCGTTTTGGTTGAGAGGAACCGTGTGGGTTGTGTGTTGAGCACAAAATACGTTACCGCATCTGTATGGGTTGAAGATGTCAGTCATCAAGTAATAGGTGTTCCCCTTCTGCCTCATACGGAACTGAAGTGAAACACAGCCGAAAAGCTCAGAGACAAGAATCAAATCACCATGGAAAATGTGGGAAGAGCGGATAAGCCTCAGGATGCGCCGGCACGAAAAGAATTCAAGAACGACGGGTACTTGTGAATAAAGCATAGACGGAGCAAATAACAAACTTACCGTCGACAGTGATGTCTTCTCAGAACAAATGAGAAGTTTTTAACACACATAGCCGCGTCACAGGTTACAGCTTCAGCGTCAGGCTAGAATGAGCACGCAATGCAGGTTAGCAATCACGACTGTAAAAGCCCAAGCAGGCAAGCTAATTATACAAGAAGAAAAAAAACACCTTGCGGTCCATGTAGCCAAAGAGGTGCACCCCAAGCGAGAAATATTTGTAAAAAAAACAAAAAACTCTGCCTCCCCCGTCCTTTGACACCGGTCTGAGGAACATAAAGCAGGGATATCTCTCCCACTCCAGAGGATGCGCTTTGCTGGTGGAGAACAGGACTGGGAAAGAAGGGGAGGAGGACGAGGGTAATATTTTTGCAGGTGCCAAACCGTGGAAATAAATACCTTCCAATGTCCCTTTCCCGGAGGACCTGTGACCTTCCCCTCTTCTTCCAGACCAGCAATTCCATAGTCTTCTCCGGCTAGATAGCTGCCGTAAGCAGCATTTCGAATATCCATGCCATTCTTATACTCTCCATCGCCAACATAGTCTTCATTTACAGAGGCTGCAGAACTTGTCGGTGGAGTGAGAGGCGAATTTTCACGTCGAGCGGGCCTCTCGATTGAACGGAGAACAGCGGGTCGATAAAGTGGGGACTTTGGCGGGTGAAGCTGGCGACATGGAGCTGGAAGGTGGGCTAAACTCGAAAAAGGCGAGGTCGGAAATGCATTGAACTGCGGCGGTTGAATCATTTGAGAATGTTGAGTAGTCGGTGGAGAGGTATTGTTGGAATGCTGCGCGGAGCGACGCTGTGGTTGCAGCGATGGAGAAGGATAGGGCATCTTCGGGCTGTTTGCTGACCGAAAAGGCGAAATAAATCAAAGCTGGATGGACCGATGGATGGGGAGATAACGGGAGTGGTGATGAGGAGGGTAAGTTACCGACGGAGCTTGTTTGTCGAGAAAATGACAAATGGCCGGGGGTTATGTGGGCTGTTGCAGTGGCCGGAATAAGGATTGGGTTTCGAGTTGGGGGAGAGGTGGGAGGGGGAGGAAGGAGGGACAGCAGGCTGCTGCCCACCAGCGTGAGTTAGCCTACCATACCACCGTAGCGCACGGCACCAATGGGGAGCGAGTGGCCACTTCAGCACGACATCGAATGCATGCAATGCAGACTGAGGTGTACCCTATCATACCTTAATGTATGTACTTAATGTTTCCTATCCTCCAGTCCCCTTCTATCCTGACCGTATCTCAAGATGCGCTAGGACGTTCAACGTATCCTGTCCTTTTCCGTGCCCTGCGTGCACCGATTTGTTTGCCTCCTGCTGTTCTATGCTTCCCCGAGTGCCGGATGCCTTTGACCATCAAAACAGCATCCGGATCCGAGGCAACCGAATGGCGGGTACAATATGGGGGTCGTGTGCTCAAGTACGATGCCGTACGTCTCCAAACCGACAAATACAATGCAGGAGAGAAATAAATACTGTACGAGTACAAGTGAAAATGACACGAAAAGGGGAAAAACAAAGCAAAATTCAAATCTCGAAGGGGAAAAAAGGACGCTTGCGATTCCGGGTGCGTTACAGTTGGGTGTGATACCGGTATGTGCGATAGGAGAGACGCGATACCAAGCAACGACGCCGGTATGGGTGAGGACACCGGTATGTATAATGGGATAAGGGAAAATTATAGTGGCGGGGACATAGGCAGCCTTCTGGCCAGACGGGGCCGGAAGTGCAGCTACCGTACGAGTACTCGTAGTGAGCGTGCAGACAGTGTGGGGAAGACAGCGTGGGGAACTAAGTCGAGATGAAGGCTCAATACCTCTGGTCCGATCAAGGCTGCAGGCTGCTCCTCCTCCCACAAGTTTAATGTCGTTGTCGGAGCACTCGTACGGTACCGGTAGGCAGAAGAGGACTCCAAGCCAAGAGTCCCCTCCGAGTTCTCAACCGGATGGAGCTCATTACTCGCGCTCACACGATAACGCCAAGGAAGAAGGAGATAAGCAGTACCGTACCAATACAAAATGTTGCTATGTATGTGAGGTTTAACCATAACACCCCCGTTTCTGGTCGGCCCCTGGAGGTCTGCCATGATAAATATAACACAAGCGAATTTCTCCGCTACTATCATACGGTACCCAAGGTTGATGGGAAGTCTGTTGCCCTGCTTGACTTGGAGAGCAAATATTTGGCTATGCGGTCAAAAATGTCAAGTACTTCCATTTCCGCCAAGACTATGCCAAGGTGCCTTTCCTCCGCGAGAACTTCTCGAATGGGGCTATAGCGGCAAGACACGCTAAGCTACATGAATCGTTCAAGATGCTCCTTACGCTAACCTTATCGGTAATGTGTGCAAGATAAGGAATCCACGTAGCCAATCACCGCAGCCGTATGCCAAAGACTGGCTCCGGGGGCCTGGGCTTAATCCGCGGAGGCCCAGAGGCCCCCGAAGCTTTTAACATGATGATGAACAGTACCAGTAGTTTGGGGCCCCTCCTTACCGGTAATTTACTCCTGTACTCGAGTACCGGTACAGCACTCGTTGGTGCTGCCGTATGGGTGGATTTAGCAAATTCCATTGCGCTCGCCTAGACCACTTTGGTCTCTTTCGGGCAAAAAAAGATTACAGTGCCTGGGTGTCAGTGCCGTTTCCTCAATCCGGGGAGAGGGGAACTCGAGCAGTCGAGCATTCCTGACGGGCGGCGCTTCTTCCCCTCTTTCTACGAATTTTCCCGACGCCGGTCTACGGTACCGGTACCCTGGCTGCCAAAACCAAAAACATCGATTGTCCTCGCAGCGTAACCCTGACGAAACGATGCATTTGGCCAAAGATATACGGTAATTGAGTGATCCCATTAAAATAACAACAATAGAGATAACAATCCACTCTCCCCCGACCCGAAAGGTCCTGGCTCGGTAATTGTGAATTGCCGCAGCAGCCGATCGCGATCAGCGGTGAATCCTCAAACAGAGGGGTTGATTTCTATCCATTGCTCTAACCGAAATGTTGAGAAAGGAGAGGACAGCAACGGAGACCTCCGAACGAGATGTTTCTTGGACCTGAGCGGCGTAGTATTGCCTTCCAAGTTAACCCTAGAGCCATCGTGACTGGACACTTCGAATTGTCATGTTGTTTGCCAAAGAAGAGGGGTTGGTTAAATACTGGCCTCGAACCGTCCTACGTGGGGGATCGTCTCGGTGCGCTCGAATGCTCGAGCACGGTACGGTGCGAGTACCGGTACCAGTCAGTACTACAAGCAGTACTCGTACTCGTACCGTACCGTATACCACCGGCAGTGAGCCCAATTCATCCCCGGTCATTTTTCTCACCGGTGATACGAATACTTGAGCCAAGGTTAGCACCATTCCCGGCATGAATACTGCGCTGTGCTTGCATCCTCACATATTCGTCTGACCGTAGTCGTGGCTTTATGGAAGGTGGAGAGTCCTTCATAAATTAAGCAGGTTCCAATCATCATCTTGCGACCCATCACATCTTCAACCTTTTGTCGTGAAGCGCTTCTCCCTTTCGAGGCAACCTGCCGCACTCGATTACCACGCTGATACGAGCACAATCGGGTACCGGTACCTGACTGTTGGACACCAATGGCTTACCACCAGCAACGTACTTGTACCAGTACCATGCCTCGCGCCCGTGTCAGCGCCTTCATAGATCTAAGATAAACGAAAAAGCTTGGTAGAGGCTAACGTCACGGCAAGCTCAACCTATGGGCTACCGTACATTGAGACGAACAACCGCGTTACGGCGCCATACCGGTACCGTACTGGTAGGGGACTCGGTTCGTTGTACGGGTACCAGTACCAGTGGTCCGGGGACAGTCTACGAGTACGAGTACCGGCATATGAACCCTATGGGGGAACGAAAACTTCCGTCTCAACACCCCAAACCTTAGCCGCTCGAGGAGATACCGCTATGACACGGTTCGGTGCTCGAGTGTTCGGGCCCGGAATGGTGTTTACTGTACGAGTACTACCGGTGCCGATACTTTAGTACTGTAGCAGTCCCCCGGGCCGCTTCCCCTTCGCATGTCGAGAGCGTGCCCTAGAGTGCTAGCACACTGTAAGAACTCGAATACCGGTACCGGTACCGGTAGAACACAAACGTGCTAGGACCTCGGAATTCCCCATCTCGGCTGAGAGGGGGAAGACCGCAAACTCACCCCGACCGAGACGAAACAAATAGGAGCACACACACACAGCGTGCTCCGCCGGCGGAGGCCGAACTAGTACGGATTGATCTTGTCCCCTCAGAGGTAATCTCCACACAGCACAGACCATTGTCTCCGCGTCAATTTGGCAACTCCCTCCCGATATTCCATCTCGATTTCAAAATCTGCCCCCAACGCAAATGCACTCCAGCGCACAGACGCTGAATACCGGTACCAGAAGGCTTTCCGGCGTCAATCGTCTCCAACGGTAGCCTGACGCCATGAATCATAGGATGTCTGATCTTTACTTGTAACTGGTCTGGGCGCACAAGAACAGAGTGGCTTGGAAGACGCTTACGACGATTGTTTGTGTGACAGCACTCGAGCACCAGTATGGTATCCATGATATCAAAAAAGGACCTTTTCTAGGGTTACGATACGTACTGTACAGTAACGTTGCCCTATCGTAAGGTGCCTACTGGTACCGGTATCATACTTGTGCTCGTTCAGGTACCTGTGGTGATACTGTACGGCGCCGGTACTGATGCCAATAAGATTGAAATCCGACCTGCGACCTTTTTGAAGGTCGGAGCTTCATCTTTACAAGATTTGGAATATAAACCGGGATCGGGGACTAACGTAGAATTTATGACTTGTGCGACCGATACAATATCCTATCTGAGTTTAATACCGTAGTCATATCGCACTTTAGATGCCTCTGATCCAGCCTGGGTATCGGCAAGGTTTTCCTACGTTGTACGAGTACGGTACGGTACACGCTTTAACTCTTTAACTAGCCGATTTACTAGCGCGCGAGTGGGTGCAGAATCACGCGAATTTTCGGTCACACACCAAAACCGAAGACACCCACCCGTGCGGGGAATCGGCATCAGTGTGCCTTGTCCCTTCGGAGCATACTCGTACAGCATAGTGCTTGTACGAGTAATGGAATCCACCGTACAGTACCGGTATCCTCTTCGAATCTGATCTCCTTGGGGGTTGCAAGCATGAGCTCTGGCCCGGGAGAAGGATCTCCCTTGCTTGCTGTTCCTATTGCACTTGTACAGTGCCCACACATCGTGCTAAGTTTGTCTCCTGATCTCACTCACCCAGTTGCATCCACCAGTACGGTAACAAACTATCACCATGCTGCCACGCTGGCCCGAGCCCAATACCGTACCGTACTGGTGCCGGGGCACCGGTCACAGAGCGCCGAGGGCCGAGACGAGATTCCGTTCCTGTTAGTGTCTGTGGCAACATTGCTCTTTTCTCGCTAGCTAGCTCAGCTGGACCACAAGAATTTGGGTCCGCTCCCTATTGCCCTCGCATATGGTCGGTCTTGGGGCCAACCCCGGGACCAATCGAAGTCTAGGAACTATCACACTCCTAAGGGTGAGTTTATCTATTTTGGGGGTTCGCTGCTAGATTCCGGTACCGTTAAGTTTATAAAAGCTGCGATGCTCATACTCGAGTACAGAGAGGAGTCTGGAATCTTTTCATATATTTGCGATACTTGCAGGAACACACCCGTTGATCATCCATTTCTCACAGTTCCCCTGTTCGGAGGGCGCGTAGGGATTTGTTCACTGGTGGCCACCTGTTATCATGCTTCCGCGTCAAGAAATGCGGGTGCCTATCGGTACGGCTAGGGGCTTTGGTACTGAATCGATAGTGAGTACTACTTCCCTTGGACTGCATTTCCCGACCCATCCAACAGGCTACGCCACGAGGTACTGGTATACCGGTACCCTTGCCATCTATCTATAGGCTGGTGCGGTAGGACTGGAGTCAAAAAATTTGCCCTTATAACAGGTACGAGTACTGACGCCGCGGTTGTTTGTCGTGTTGGGCCAAACGATTGCTAGAGCAGAGTTCGGTGAAGTGAGCACCGCCTATTCTTACAAATACAGTACTTGTACCGGTACTGGTATACGCCCGGCCGTTCTGAACGCCTACCGGTACAATACCGGTACTACAATATGTGAACCGCAGACCCCTGCAGATGCTATAGGTTCCAATACCGGCGAAACGGTTAGTGGATTACCGGCAGCAGATGTTGCATTCTCTGTCAACTTGGCAGCAAGTTGTTGGTGAGCTATATCTTATTGTAGAGTGTGCGGTAGGGGGTACCGGTATTCCAATTGAGTACACACCGCGTCGTATCGTGCCCGTATAATACGATTCCAGCACCTGTAGCGTTGGGAGATCAGTGAGGGGGGCAAAGAACACTTTCTCACATGATTGTGTTCCTGTGTGATACATACCATTCTTCGCGCAATACCCGAGTGGTGTTCTGGTTCATTTCGAAATGGCTTTGTTTATCGAGGATTCTTCTCTGTCTTAATATGGACTCCTGGAGACAACGGACATCATTGCATCCACGAGACCTTCAGATCTGGCGGGGAAGCAGAGATTTCCCCACACTGTCGTGTTTCCTGGCACGCACCGTTGGAACGAATAATCTCCGCCAGGATGCCATGCCGTTTCAGACTTGTGCGATAGTCTGGGAGTTTGGGAACTTCTCTTGGTCTTTTGAGTTTTTTTTTTTTTGCTTCTTGGGCGTCGTGATGGCCACGCACAGACCTTCTGGTAGCGATCACCACGGCAACTGCCTCTGTCTTCAAATTATCTCTGGACCAAGATTCCAAGACTCTCACTATACGGTAAGTTAGTAGTACAATCATCATATTCGTTCCGCGATTTTCCTGAGGCATAACACGTATTTTGTTGATCACGATTGGAGAAAATAGTCTACAGCTAAAATCAGGATTGGGCGGACGCGTTGATCGACCTTGTGGTGGTGTGCTGGGTTCGTCACTTACGGTAGGGGGGTCCGTTGAGGTTCGGAGTTCGCAAAAATTGAGGACCCCCACAGATATCCTTGCGTACCCCGATATGTTCGCCGATACAATCGTGGAACGCCCAAGCGCTCATACAAGTACCTGTACAGGTACAAGTACATATCCTGTCCAAATACACGTTCTCTGATTGTGTGATTGCCGTGTTGTACTACACCAGTACTGGACGGGTGCCGGTACTCGTACAATCCTACTCGAGTACCGCCTTGGGCTTAACACATGGATTCATTTGTTCCCTGCCGTAGAAGGACCTTGATCCGTAACAATACCGGTATGGTGTCAACAGCTCACGGGAGGGAAGTGTGTTGCCCCTGCTTCGATTTTTCGACTGGTAGAAGGCAGCTACCTGTGGACTACGGTAGTTTGGAGCTTAGAACTACGGGAGATACAAGTACTGTACAGTACAATATTTGCGCCCAAGCCGCTCTGTGACCGGCTGGATTCCATACTTCCCCCTACCGCTTCCGACACCGTACCGTACGAATACCGGTATTTACGGGTAGCCGGTACTTCCAACTTTTTATCTCAGTTTCGAACGGATTGGGGCTTGTCCGATCGAGTTTGCCTTTATCATATGATATGATATGATACCAAGAACTTTATCTCTCCTGCTCAGTTCAAACCCCTAAAACCCGCGGGGGATGCTCTCGTCGCCCTCGCGCCTGCTCAAGTGATTGGGTTTAAGATTTTAGCTTCTGGGGTAGGGAGATTTGGTCTCGGCCGGGAGTGTTGGGCGGAACGGGGGTCTTGTGAAGGTCGAGAGGATCGGTTGAGAGCTAGCTCAACCAACTGTAGCATGTTCATTGCATGGCTGAAGCCCTAGCGAACATGGTATGGTAGCCTCAAAAGTAGAACCTAGCCTTCCGCCTCCTGATCCCTTCTCGGTCCTCTTGCAGCTCGCAGAGAAGGGCTTGGACGATTTTTTTTCCTATCGTACAAAAAACATAAATTTAACTGGAAGGGGCCGGGAGCTGGGGAAGAGAAAAAAGGAAAGGTTAGAAGAGGCAAGGGGGGAAAAAAATAAAATAACAATATGAGATATTATACTTAGAAAGTCTTTGGCTCTATGTCTTTCTAAATCCACTGCTCAACACAACGTCTTTCATTTTCTATTTAGCATAGGGGGGAGACCGGTGTCAAGACCGGTGGGGGTTTTTAACGCGTGATTTTGTGAGTACGATTTTTTTCACTCATTTATCGTTTCTACCTATCGAGCGACGGAAAGACCTTAGCGGAGCGGACTTACTAGTTTGTCTTCTAACCGCCCAATCTGGAGCTTACCTCGTCTGAAAGTTGGATCTTTGATAGTTCACAGACACCGCGGAGGTGCTCTTCTGCCTACATCCACTTCCCGTATCATATTATCACAACTTTCTCTGGATTACTGCTCACAGAGAGCCCTGGAGACGCCTTGGACACAGCTTCTTTGACCGCGGACATGGCGGGCCCATCTAGTCCGTCTTCTCTTCGGTTTACCGGCTGCGGTGTCCGTAATGGACACGGGTATAATAGTGGTATCGGAGAAACTCTGCGATCAAGGGAGCTCTACAAGTATTTTTCCTCAACGCTACCCCCTAGAACGTATTAGGGAGCTGATTGCTTGTATGTTTAAAGATATTATCAACCCCCTAGTGGTAATTCATCTCCTACATCTCCCGGCGGCCGATTAGATCATCGAGAGGATGATGTGGGCCTAGAGGTGGTTTCTTCCGAAGACCCTGCGTTATCTGCATTTACCCTCTTGACTGCAAACTTGTTAAACTGCAAACGGTCTATGATAAGCCTGGTCGACGATGAGCTTGTGTACATGGTAGCGGAGTCTACTCGTTCGCTATCCCTGACTAAACCCTATACTCATGACCCTGAGGATGGCCTATGGGTTGGTGGGTGCACGACCATGCCCCGGGATGGAGGGCTTTGTGAACGGACTATCTCGCTTGCGCCACCGGAAGGGTTGGGGGGCGGAGAAGAATGTATTATGATCTTTGAATTAGAGGATATGGCTAAGGAGCCAGAATGGGAAGATCATCCGGACGTATCGAATTGGCCTTATCTACGATATTACGCTGGAGCGCCACTTCGAACTAAGAATGGCGTTTCGATAGGAAGCGTATGTGTGGTTGATGATAAACCCCGCCCTGGGGGTCTCAAAGAGGAGGGAAGGAGGACGATGTCAAAGATGGCAGAAATAGTCATGGATCACCTAGAGAGGGTGAGGGCGGAAAACGAGATGAGGCGAGGGAAGATGATGGGGGTTGGAATGTCGAGATTTGTGGCGGCAAATTTCCTGCAAGCTGGAGCTGAGTTTGGAGATATAAGAAATGATGGGCGCTTGCGGAGCGTTGGAGGGAACATTCGGGAGGAGAAACTGGCCGAGGCGGAGCAGCTGGTGTGGGCGGATGGTATTCGCGGTCAAGATCATGGGAAGGTGGATCCTGGATGTGAAAAAGAGGTGATTCGGCGCCAGCCATCAATCGAGTCTCACTGCAGCTGTAAACTAGACATGCCTGATCAAGATCTTCCTGGAGCAGAGGACAGTATCGATCCGCTCTCCCCCTCGGAGAAGTCGCGCCCAGGTGGGGTGTTGTCTAATTTTAGGTCTTCGCAATTGCCGCTGTCGTTCCCGTTTCCTGATAGGGAGGACTTCGGCTCACCCGAGGCTCCATTCCGTAGCCCCAGAGCATATCCGCCAGAATTATCCCGTAAGCTAAGTTATTGTTCTCAGTCAACTTCGGGACTTGCGACACTTTCAGGGAACACCTCAGGGTTTTCGGGCACCAACACCACCGCCCCTTCTGCATCTCCTGCAGAATCTCTATCCTCGCCAACTTTCAAGGAGCCTGATTATGGCTATCCTTCAGCTCCGGAAGCGCGGCCACGATGTCGAGATGGTGATGATGTTGAAAATTCTTTCTTATCTACCTTTGGCCGGGCGTCTGTGCTCATTCGGTCGTCACTCGAAGCAGATGGTGTGGCTTTTGTCGATTGTGATTTGGGGAGAAACTACGGATTCGAGGCCAATTTGGAAGATGCGGTCGGTCAAATGCCAAAGCCTGTCGATGCATACCGTGATCAGAGGCCACTTGGGTGCCGCCGGGAGTCTGGGCTCTTTGGTTACGCTACGACATCCAGCTCTTCCCTCGCCAATACATTGGAGGGTGGGGGATTTTTTAGCAATCGTGATGGCGAAACTGAGGAGCTTCCTTTCTCCATTGAAGCACTTAGCGAACCGTTTTTGCGCTCTTTGGTTGATTGCTGCCCCCAGGGGCGCATATTTACTTATAGCAAAGGAGCTGATGGAGAATGTGAAACGGTGGAACTAGAGTGCGATATTGGATGTTCTGAAATTGTGTCTACTATCTCAGGTTCTGATTCTACATCAATTCATCCGGGGGGGAAGAGGGTGTGCAAGACGCAGATAGAAACGTTAAAAAAGTTCCTGCCTGGAAGCAGATCTCTTGTTTTTGTCCCACTGTACGATTTTGACGGAAACCTTTTTGCTGTGGGGTTTGCGTGGAGTAATTCTGGAACAAGGGTATTCTGCAAGGATATGGAAGGTACATACATGATAGCATTTGGGAATAGTATTATGGCCGAGATTGGGCGCTTACATTCAGTCAGTGGTAAGTTTCTCGCTGTCTTTTTATTTTGTTTTATAACTTTTGCAAAGTTTGAAGCCCTGATAATTTTTTGCTTTAAAAAACAGCGGATAGGGCGAAAGGTGATTTCATATCTTCAGTGTCGCACGAACTAAGATCACCACTACATGGGATACTCGCCAGCGCTGAGTTCCTGTCGGAGACCAACCTCGATAATTTCCAGCGGAGCTTTGTGGACACTGTGGAGAGCTGTGGGCGTACGTTGCTTGACACGATCAACCATGTATTGGACTTCTCAAAGCTTAATAGCTTTGATAACAGGTGGGGCGGAAGAGGCCGTGGTTCTATTTTGGGGAAAGAAAGATCGGTCGGAACATGGAGTAGGCTAGGCGGTAGATCGACTACGAATGATTCTGGGGGAATACCTCCCTTGCGGGCTGGTGGAGAGAAAGATGGTGGAGATTACAAGGGGAGGCTTGGATATATGCGGGACTTTGCTGGCTCAGCAGCGGATGTCGACAACCTGACAGCGGACACTGATTTGAGTGCAATATTGGAGGAGGTGACCGAAGGCGTGTTTGCTGGCTATGAGTTCCGCGGCATCAGTACCCCTGGAATTATGGAGGATGTTGGAAAGGTTAGCCGTCTCGGGGCCGGTGGGCGGCAGATTGTCGGAACGAAGAATGACATTACAGTGATTATGGATATAGATAGACGGGAAGACGGGTGGGTTTTTCAGACACAGCCGGGCGCCTTGCGACGGATTTTCTTGAATTTGGGGGGGAATGCCATCAAGTATACCGACTCAGGCTGGGTGAGAATTAAGCTCAGGGCTGAGGATCTTCCACCTAATCTCGGAGATGACGACGAGAAGAGCTTGGTCACTTTGGTCTTTACGGATTCTGGAAAAGGGATCAGCAGAGAGTTCTTGAAAACCAAGCTGTTTACGCCCTTTAGCCAGGAGAACCCATTGGTCAGTGGAACCGGTCTGGGTATGAGTATCGTTCGGCAAATCGTGGAAATGCTTGGAGGGGAGATTGATGTGAAGAGTGAGCTTGGGAAGGGTACGGAGGTCACAGTCAGTTTGGTGCTGAGAAAATCCAACAGGGGAATTGCGAAGCCTGATGCAGATTGTGATACTGGGGCGGGGAGGGATGCTGGGGATTGGGAGACCGAGATTGAAAGTATCCGGAAAAAGGGGCGTGGCAAGAAGGTTCGGCTGTTTGGGTTCGACTCACCATTAGAGGCAGACATTCATACTGCTTCAATCTCTTATCTTGGAGGTTCGTTCAGTAGATATATTTCTCACTGGTTTGGAATGACTCCGACCGTGGAAGTTTCTCCGTGCGATGCCAATCCAGATTTTATCATCGCTCACGAGGGGCCAAGGGTAGAAGAACACCTCGCGCGCCAAATCAGAGGGTTGCCTGGAATGGAGGGTGGCACGCCTCTCATTGTCATTTGTTCTAACGCTTCGCGACATGAGACTTACCAATCACTCAGCGGCATCAACGGCGGAGGAATTGTATATTTTGTGTCTAAACCTTGTGGACCTCGAAAGCTTGCCAAAGCGTTGGCTGCTTGTATCGAGAAGGTGGAGACAGCATCTCGCAATTGCAATGCTGCCTGCTTGCCTCCTTTAACAGTACCAGACACGGATTCCCCATGGGAGTCCACCATTGGCGAAACCGGTCCCCGACCTACATCGGGTTCTGGGACGGGGAGCGCGAGACCAGTAGGTTTTGGAAGGATTTCATGGGGTACGAGCAACAATAAAGGCGCATATGATACAAAACGGCCAACAGTGGAGGCCGAGTGTGATTCCTACTCGACATCACCGGGCCCACTGTGCCCGGCGCCGCTTGGCAAGGACGAGGGGCGGCCTGAGACTCTTCACCGAGAACTTTCGGCATCGAGCGTGAGCAGCACTATTAGCCTAGGAAGTACGCTTGTTGGTACATTGCCAACAGCCTTGATTGTTGAGGACAACCCAGTCAACCTGATGTTACTAGCTACCTTCATGAAAAAGCGAGGATATCCGTTCGAGAAGGCAACGAACGGATTAGAAGCTTTGAGAGCTGCTGAATCGAGACCTGGGGGTTTTGATATTATTCTAATGGGTACCGATCTCGGATCACTTTGCTCAACTTCAATTCGATGCTAACTGATAGTTCAAACAGATTTACAGATGCCTATCATGTCTGGAATCGAGTCCGCCCGTGCAATTCGAAGGCTTGAGAAGCAAAATAGGGCTAAAGGTAGTGTAATCATCGCTCTGACAGGATTAGCTGCCGCTAGCGATAAGGTCGAAGCTTACGCGGCTGGGATCGACCTGTTCATGGTAAAGCCGGTGAGCTTCAAGCAGTTGGAAAGCACGATGAAAGAATACGCATTGATTAGCGGGGAGGCATAGAGGCTTTATTTCTTCCTTTCCTTCCCTCTCTCTATTTCCCCCTTAAATACGCATACTCTAGGTCGTTCATTTCGTGATGTTGTGGTCTGTGGCGGTAACGATTGGTACTCTCACCTGCGGGCGTTATTCTTTATTTTATTGGTGGACGGATGGAGTTTTGCTCGAGGGTTTTGGGGACGCGTGCACCCGGAACTCGTTCTTTTTGCCTTTTCATATTTTATTCCGCATCAATATCACTTAAGTTTATGCGATAGGTATCATATTATATGCATTTACTGGGTAAAGGTCTTTTGCGGGGCGGAGTTTCCTGTCGATGGCGGGGCGGGGGGCTGCAGTAGCTTAAGGGAGGAGGTTGCGCCATTGAGGCCAATGCGGCGGAGGGGCTTGTCTCGCTGGGGGCAATCTTTTCAATATCAGCGACTCTCACATCTTTCCCATACTGTACTACCTACCGTACTCGAGCACAGTATGGTAGAATACCTTAGGGGTTCACCCTTTAGTCGCACCTCGATCAGTCTCCCGATATTACACGGTCTCTGTAAAGCTGCCAGCAAAAGTGCCCAGGGGGGATTGCTAGGTTGCCAAAGGTTACCTGGTCAACTGGCTCTTCTCTGAACGAGCACTGTGCTATCACACTTCAAGTTATATTGATAAATTGCTGTTTCGTGATATTGTGCTTTATCAATAGAGCTTTTGAGGCCTCGCGTACCAGTGGTTTTGTAGGCGGTATGGTGCATCCAGGAGTTCCACTTGTGGAACATGATACAGTGTGTTAATCCTGTTCACGGCATTGTGCACGACTTTAACCTTCGGGGGTCAAGTGCAATGTTCAATATGATAGCCAACAGAATAATCGAGTGAGAATCTATGAGTAACTCGAGTTATTTTTTACGGCCTCCAAAGGCTTCAATGGGGGGGGGGACCGAGTGGGATCTACTGGTATTATGTTCTCGGTTTGTACTCGGGGGGATAATGTTTTCTCCCCATGCCTCAATGATATTGGCATAGCCGCCTCAGGTACGGGGCCGAGCTTGGCGGATAGAGGCTACGGCTGTCCTGGTTTGGCAATACCGGGGGACCGATATGGTTGCGTGTTTGGGCATAATATCAGATGTACGAACGAGTGACGTGCGCAGGTGATAAATCCACAACAATCTGCCCATAGTCTTGAACCTCCCGATATTCTTCCTCACGAAACCATTAGGACGGTATTATCGAAGAAAGTCTTTACGAGCTTTGTCAGTGACGGCAAACAACAAGCATTACTCTTTGGTACGTTCCGAACGAATATTCATTAAGCCCTGAACTGAACTATACATACATAGCGGGTCCAGTAAGGATGGAGTCTGCGTTTGGTTTCCTATGCAAGGGCTGGTCTCCTGGTGGTCGGGCCGCATCAAGTGAGGATGAATGGTGCAAGGATGGAGATGGATTGGAGGGAGATGATATTGATTATGAAATCCTCTCTTCTCTCCCTCCTGAGCCTTCACGGGAGGATCAAGAGGAGTTACCGGTTGGGACGCACTGTATGATGCCTGCCTCAGTTCGTGAGGATACAGATAGGGGGGAAGACAGAGAGGAGATAGCCCACGGGGGGAAATGCCCGCCTCCGGCCTCGGTGGAGAGGTTCCGATACTGGCAAGATGAGAAGCCCCTTTGCGAAAGTATATGCGTGAGTGCATTTTCCATAGCAGGACTGGATCAGAGCTCATAATATCGTGGTTCTAGATTTGGTTCAATGCTTTCATCGCTTCCTTCTACTGTCTGGGACCCGCGGGAGTCGTGGCATTGCACATAATAATCGAAAATGAGCGATTGCCAGAATATGACTGCCCCTTTCCTAACTTCGGTGACCCTCAATTCGGAATCTGTCACTGGATCTGGGGAGGTTACACGGGAGAATTTGCTGATGTTAACGTTCCGGAAGAGGTCAGGAGGGTTTTAGGAGATTCACCCGCTGCATTATTAACCATGAAGTTTTTTGCTTTTGTTAGAACGGGATATAGTGATATTGTAGACACTGAGGGTTTCATGAACGATTTGCTTCAGGGAGGGTGGAATATGGCTCTCCAAAAGCCACCGAAGCAAGAGGGGTCTATCTCAAGTGTTTGTATGGATGTGAAATCGACCGGACAAAGAAAGATGGGGATTTCGAGCTCTGGTAAAGGATTCTTTTGTAGATGTTTGTATTTGCCGTGTTTTATTAATTGTTTTTTTTTTTAGGCCATCCCTCGGATGGGTCTCTTTCACCGGTGCCAGCTTTACTGGGTCTGTACGGGGGTAGTGAGCTTGGCTCCGGAATTCATAGTCCTGGTGAAGCTTCGAGCAAGCAGTATAACAAACCTAGTTATTCCAGGGCACCTGGTTACTCGAGCCTCGGACCCTTCAGGCTTCCGAAAAATCCTAACAGACTAGTCGATCCTACCATTTCCCAGCATTCGTTGCACGGATATGAGGAGGGGAAGGAAAGAGAACGACATTGTTCTCTAGTGCGGGCTGCGTTGGATCCTTGGAGCGTGTCCAAGCAGACAAGGAAACGGGTGAGAAGCGTATCAGCACCCCCGAGCTCTCGCTCCTCGGGAAGTTATCTGTCTTCTGGGCTTTGGCATTCCGTTCCAGATAGCACACGGGAAAAACAAAGCAAACAGTCTCCGCCGTTTTCCCAAGGGAGCTCGGATACTCGAAGAGCTGTGGAGTCTAGGCGTGCCGGAGAGCATTCATTGAGTTCTGGTTCGATACGCGGAGCACTTGGTGGCATTGGGTACAAAGCAAGAGGTTCCAAACCCGGGAAAGCCCCGGAAAGAAGTGTTCAAAGTTCAGGGGTCGTGGGTAAGCAGCCGTTAATACTGATTAGAAATGGAGAGCAGTCGATTCGTTCGGGTTGTACATCTTTTCACACAGCGGTCACCTCGAACGGCCCGCTTGAGATCCAGCATGGGCTCTTGAGATTCAGAATGGAGCCAGATGGGAGCTCTGCGCGTGTTATAGACGATTCCGAGCTGATATTTGATTCAGGCCAGTCTTTGAAAAACATACGGCACCAAGCAGGGGCATATATTGAACCAGATAAATGTGCTATCTGCTACGAGGACTGGGTTTGGAAGAGATCCTCGGAAACAGCAAAGTTGAGGAGTGATTATGAATGGGTGTTGGCAAGGCTACCGTGTGGGCATTGCTTTCATGGAGGTTGTCTCGCTCTTTGGTTCTCACAGATAAGTTTAGCTCTAACCGAACTGTGGACCTTGCTAACTTCGTCTCACGGTAGATGCGACTGCCCTTATTGTAGGACAACATATTTAAGTTGGGAGTACCCATGGGTTAATCTTCTGATTCGGGAAGGAAATAGTCTAGAGGGGTGTCCCGATAATCCTATCTCTAGGGTTTTAGCGATGGAAAATATTCCTAACGAGGGAACCGCCGGCGAGAGTTCTGAAAGACCGATGAACGCAAGTCGCACGAGGCCCAATATTTTTAGAGGGCATCTAAATTCAGTAGGTGCCGATGTGATACGATCAAGTGCCGGTTGGTCAACGGTTACTGAAAGTACACAACGGACTGTTCTAAGACGGAGGAGAAGGGCCTCTCAGCGCCTATCCAACGATTATATCACCAATGATAGTCTCGACTTGTCCCATCCTGATGACTTCTCTCCGCATGGGGGACTTCGGCTAGGGGTTCCTCCAAATGCCGATTCTTTCGAAGATGAATATTGGGAAAGATATGGCACGGAGATTGGCGAAGAGGGTGAGGGTGGCTGGAGAGACAAGGGGCAGTTCAATGATGAAGAGGGGATTCTTGGTGGCTCTGCGAGTGCCGAATGGCCGCATTTAGGAGCCTATATTAACGCTGGAATACGTGGTGAACCTTTCTACCCGGAATCACCGCGTCCAATATCGAGAAGTGAGGCAGCCAAGAGCACGACTCCCCCAAGGTTAAGAGCTCTTTTATTGGCTGTTAAATTGCTAGAGTCGGTTTTCTCGGAGCTCACGCCAACCTCACCGACTCATCTGGGTCTCCTGGATTCGACCATATCTATATTGAATCAATTCATCCAAGCACATAAGGAGGGATTCAATGAGGCGCCTAGGAGGTACGCTAGTAATTCTTCGGGAAGAATGTCCAAAAGCACAAGCACGAGTGACATGGGGGATATTTTCCGGGAATTAGGGCATCAGACTGAGCAGGAGTCGGGAAACCATAGGTTATGCAGGTATACCAATATGCAAGCCGTTAAGAAAGGATCGAGCATCCCTAGGTACCGAATATTTGGTGCGGAAGATGCTGGCACTGGTTCAGGCGTGTCGCTGGCAGCAGGACCGGAAAGTGTCAGATACGCGCGAAAAAAACAACGGAAGAGCCGATTTGGCTTCTTGGATAAGGGGTCTTCCTTCAACGCTCCCGCCCCCGGATCCCCAGAATTTATTGTTTCTAGTATCATGGGCCACAATATAGGCGGCATTTGCGGTGATACAGCTGTATCTTATATGCCATCTCCCGCTGATGCCACACCCAAAGCTACTGCAATCGGAAGAAGCATTTTGAGTACTTCTGATGAGTTTTCCGCGGCGGCTGTCTCGCCGGTCGTGAAGATGAAGTTTCCGTTCACGCCGGACTGTTACCCAAAGAGTCAAGAGTCTGGAGTACGAAAGATAGTCAATAAGGGATCTAAGATACCCGTTCTTGCTAGGAAGGTAGGGATGCGCAGGGAAACAGCCGAGAGGCCCTGGGATATGGTTACCCCGACCCCGTGGAACCGAGAGAATTCTCCATTCGGATTAGGAATGTCGGTCTCACCCTTGAGAAGACCTCTGTTTGAAAAGGGGGCATGGGGAGCGTGATGGCGGCATACCATGAGGCAGCTTGGGTCTAGGATGTCTAAGAGAAATGTGTGTTGATGCTTCTGGGTCTTGAATTTTTGTGTTGTCAGCCTACGAGTAGGACATGAGAATGGTTGGGTGTCGGAATTGCTCAAGCGTTCCCCTTGTGATATTTTCCTCGATCGCGATGTTTATTTTTGTCGGGGGGGTTTTTAACTGTAGTGGTTGCGAGCAAAAATGCTAAGCGTTTCCTATTGGGAGGTTAGCGCACTCTGCTGCCTAGTTGGTCACGGTATGATGCTAGCACAAGTACTGCAGCGGGCAAGAAGTGCTCGAGTACAGGTATCAGGCAAGATGTTTTCGTACTGTACAAGGATTGCCAAGAAAGCCTTTAGGTTGTGGTGAGAGAAGCAAAAATACTGAACAGTATGGTATCGTGACCTGAGAAACACCAGCAGAGTATGTCA